TTACAGGTATGAGCCATCACATAAAAAGTCATTTTACAAGTGATATCTAGGTATGACAGAAATAGTGAAAATGGGTATGTAACTCCAAACAGACAAATACTGACCCAATAAAGAGATTAAAATTCAGGATACTCAGTGAGAGACTCACTATGGCAGACAGATTGTTATCAACACTGAATTCCCCTTTTGTCCCAGAGCTCATAGACAAATTACATTTCCCAGGCCCTTACAGTAAGAATGGGTGTTCCTTCTCCACATTCTTTTTCTTTCATCACCTGCCAAATACAAGAATACAATACGAGACTCCTAGGGAAGGATGGTCATGTGGAAATAAAATTTCTAGTCCCCAATACATACTGTAGAGTGACATGAGAGTTATACTTTTAAGGGGTGAGCCACAGACATTTGAGGATGGCTAAGGCAATTTAGCTTACCTGACTGCAACCAGCATCACGTAAACAATAGCCAAGCTGGAGTTAGGACCCTGGCCTCCTGTGTAAGGGTCTCTGTTAAGGACACATTCCTGGGTGAAAGGAGAAGGGCATTATTGCCCTTCCATTGTATTTCTCTCTCAGTTTTAATTCCTTTAAAAGAATGAGTTGCTAAAAATCACCAAATTGCAGAAAGCATATTTTAGGTGACAGAAGTTTAAAATCAGTACTGTATTGAGACACTCACCTCCACAGATTGATATCTGGATGTTACTGTCTTCACTGCAGACTAAAGCAAGGAGACAAAAATCCTTTCCATTAGGATCAAGCTTAGTTTGATAAGCCTAAATTCAGCACATTCCCCTCCCCCCAGTACCTGACACACACATTCACCCAGTGTCTTATCTCTAGTTCACTTTGATGCTGGGGAAGCAAAACAGGCATCCTGATAGCACTTTTCTTTTATGCTTGAGTCTAACTCCAGCACAAGTTGCTCTCAGAAACAAGGAGCACATAAATGCAGCCCTGCAACAAGTAGTTGCAGAGCCCAGGCTTCCACTCTGAGCTTGACCCATTGTCTCCTGACCCAATGTCTCCATTAGCTGAGTCTGGGCTTGATAAAGGGTCAGTCTTGGCTGCCTCCCCAGTCTTAGGTACTGTGAAACTTTGCAAACACTCATGCAATTAAAAAAAGTTCCATTTTGTACAGGGTCAGGGGTATATATATTTCAACTGCAACCCAACATCAGATTCCTTGCTGGGATTATAGCTTTTGGTATCCTGTTTCTCTCTTTGCTCACAAACTGGGGGTTGTGGGGAGTAAGAAAAAGTTGGTTTTGTCTTTGAATGTGATAGCTCATACACTGAACAAAAAGATGGGATTTCAGCATGGACATACATCCCTGATCCTATAGGTAACTCTTGATAATGCAGAGAAAAATCCGTCAATGGGAAAAGTAAAGATGGAAGGAAGAAGGAGGATATTTAGAGTAAAAAGGTAATAAGACTGTGAACCAGTTGAGAATATTGATGTACCTGCAGTGTGTGGCTGAAACTCCTCTATATCCAGCCAACATTCTACTGTGTGTAGCTCTCCCCCTGGCCCGTCAGCTAGTGAATCAAGTTTACAGGTAGCCAACAAGTTGATGCCCACAATAGTGTCTTGACAGATGTGAGCAAACACATGGAGATGCCCAGCAGGAAATCCAGCCCAGTGAAAGGGAGGAGACAACCATGGAGAAGGGTGCTCTGGGGGCAGGACAAGTGAATGTGCCCATCAGCTCAGTCAGCCAATTTACTTACCTTAGACAACTTCATCTTCTTCAAGGACATTCCATCCACAGATGCTATTTTGACTCTGCCCAGGACCTGCTTCCCATGTTCCTTCACCCTCAGGTTTCTCACCTCAGAACCCCATCATTACTCTGGCTGAGTAAGCACTGACCATTTGGTTTTTCAATAATTACCATCAAGTCTAGCAATCAGTAACAAAAGATTTATACAGTTCACCGCCTAAAGTATGCATATATCCTGTAAAATTGAAAGGAAGTCATCTCTCATCTGGGAGACCTTGGGTCCTGCATGCTGGGCCTTCCTACAGCAATGAAGTCCAAGGAGCACCTTCCCTCCCCAGGATCCCTGCCCATAGTCCAGGCACAAGCAACAGGAAGCCTGCCACTAGCACAGGCAAGGGCACTCTTAGCCACAAAGGACATGCTTCCATTTTGAAGTTTTAATGGTAAGACATGTCTAGATGATTTAACTCTCTGGTGGCAAAAACTTACTAGGAAAACACGTATCCTTTTAGGGGAATTTAGCTCCTTATAAAGGGTCATCAAATGTTATTCCCATAAGTCTCCAATCAGCAGCCCACTTCAACTAGGGCCCCTTGGTTCATGACATGAACAAATTCCTCAGAAAGGCCTGGATCTATCTAAAGCCACAGGCCAAAGAACCTCCGGGGTGGAGAGAGGTGGCATTCCCACACTATTGGTTCAGACAGGGCTAAACCAACATCCTTTGCTGGCCACCAAGGAGTATGAGAGGCTAGGCAAGGAGAAAAGTAGGGAAAAATTAAGAGACAGAGAAATCATGCCATACTCACATAAGACTGCAATAGTACAAATAACCAGGATTCTACTTATACAGCACAGATAGTCTCAAATCACAGTGCTACCTAAGGCACCTATCCCTGAGGATATGAGAGACAGTCCAACATTAAATTTTTAAAACAAGCATTATTGTTTATGGATATATTCTTACGAAGTATAGTCATGCATTACTTAGTGATAGGGGCATGTTATAAGAAATGTATCGGTAGGCAGTTTTGTTGTCGTGTGAACATTACACACTGTACTTAACACACACCTGGATGGTACAACCTACTGCACACCTCAGCTAGATGATAAAGCCTGTTGCTTTAGGCTGCACACCTGGACAGCCTGAATACTGTAAACAATGGTAACATAACAGAAAGTATTTGTATATTTAAAGATATCTAAATATAGGAAAGGTAAAGATATGGTATTGTAACCTTATGGGACTACCGTCATGCAGCCCTCTACTGACTGAAATGTCATAGCCCCTGA